TGCACTCAAATTCCTCAGCTATGAGGAACATGGGTATTCATTTTAGTATCCATTTTAGATATCCACTTGAATGGATATCGTGACTGGTATGTCGACGATACCCAGTGTTAGGATATTATGATATCTCTGTATTCTTAAGAGAAAATGTCCGAGGCAGAATCGAAAACAGTAGCAAGGAATAAGATAAATTAATGAGATACAAGAAATATGCCGAATCAAATGAATCTATAACATCTTATGTGCAACCTTTCATTCATTCAGTAATCTCACAGTTAAACATGCTTAAATCAATCAGGTGGCAGCACTGCCTTCCTGTCTACAAAAAGACAAGCGGCTCTCTATCTATGACTATATTACTTTTGACATCAATTTTCGCACAAGAGAAAAATAGGGGTGGTGCTGTGGGTGGTGTTGAATAGATGTACCACACCCACTCACTACACGCCCACACGCCCATACTCACACCCTCAGCACACTTCAAAACCAAAATGTATAGAATGATAGAATACTCTGAGGATTTCTAGAATATATTATCAATTTTTTACAAAGTGCTCTTGCAGTGCATTGATATATCTAAAACACAAATTGCGATCATCGTTAGCTATCGTATAAACATTTTGTTCATATATTTTAGATTTTTTCTTAAAATTTCTCATTTCATTGAATATTTCACATATATTGCAAAATAAGCACAAATACTTGCTTTAAACAGAGATATATCTTCAATGATGACGGAATCAAAAGGATCTGAGAAAGATCACAACCAAAACATTGATATTAACGCTCTGTTATCGAATGAATTGGAAAAGTTCAAACGAAATATATCGGAAGATCTTTCAAGGATGATTTATGCTGTTGAAGCTGTTGATGGAAATAAAGACGGTCAGTTGAAGAAAGCAGTGATACGAGCAAGCGAAATAACCAATGATGCACATATTGCACTGATTCCTTACAAGAACGGAAGTGTGTATGGGGCTGCAATCTTCATAAAATTTAAATCACAGAAGCAAATTGAAACAATCGAATTCATGGACTCAGCAGAAAATTCTAACATTGCTATAGACAATCTCCAGAATGAAATAAATGAAATATATCCAGCGGCATTTCTACGCTGGCGAATTGTTGGCAAGCATTCCAATCCAGTACAATGTACTAACTTAACTGTTGAAAGTCTACTACGAGCTACTTCAGAAGCTCTATGTATTAGTGAACAACAAACAGGAGGGAAGAGTTCACACACGCAACCATTCAAGGATGATAAGTCAGTGAGTGCCTTACTCAAGGATGACCAGAAGTCTTCCACGTCGTCATCGTCTGGAAATCGTTCGCCAAAACATCGGCTATTGAAGCAAATCTCCCAGAGTGAAATCGAACCGAAAATAATGCAAGAAGAATCTAGTCCGTCTTCAGTAACTTACGGAAATAATCAGCCAACGTCGAAATTTAGAAAGTCGATTGCAACGATCAATTCTGAAGACAGAGAAGCCCTCCATGAACCAGAAGCATCAACAAGATTAAGTGAAGTTGCAGAATTTGAATGTCGTAATAATGATAATGAAAACAAACACCACATTACAGATCAAAGTGTGATAAATTTGTATCACGATTTTACGTCAATGCCACTTTGTGCAGAAAGATTTACCATTAATCTGTTATATTTAGTTTCACTCAAATTTATCAATGTTGAAAACTTACGGGATCCCAATATTGTAATACCAGATGACATAGGGACAGCGATGTCAGAGCAGCTGAACTGTTTGAAAGAACGATTGATAGTTGAAGATTTTCGATCGAAAGCAATTCAAAATTTGGTAGAAACATGTTGTGTCAACATCAAGAGCAAGAATTGGCAAGCTATATTGACAAAATTGAAAGAATTATTTCTAAACCTTAGTCCGCTGAATATGCAGGAATTATTTAGGCTCGTCAAAAAAGTTGATGAAACCACACATTTAATAGAAGGTAAAGATATTATTCTTTTTCTTGGAGAAACTGGTGCAGGTAAATCAACGGCTATTCATTTTTTTGCCGGCTCTACAATGACGCGAGTCAAGGTAAACGGTTTAAATCATATTAGTCCTACCAATATACAAAACCCTGAACTCCAAAGAGTAGTAACTTCGCCATTTGCTCGATCTGAAACTCGATATATTACTTCTGTTGAAGTCAATTACAGAAGTGTTGGAGCATCCACTAATGGCAGTATCATACTATGTGATACTCCGGGTTTCGAGGATACTAACGGACCAGAAGTTGATATTGCAAATGGGATTGGCGTTGTTAAAGCAGTAAAAGGATGTAAAAGTGTTAAGCCGCTTGTATTATTTAGTTATAAAAGTATAGGTGATAGATGTAGTGGTATAAAACAATTAGCTCATGTCATAGTTGGATTGATACCAAATATCAAAGATCATATACAAGCTATTTCATATATCTTTACAAAATTTCCCGAAGAAGAAAGAAAATCTATTCATGCTATGCTGCAGGATGTCAATGATGAATTGAATACAGAAGAAAAATCGAATGTTAGTTTTACAAGTTTCCTAAAAGATATGTTGAGAAAAACAAAAAAATCAACAGTAGTCTTAGATCCAGTTAGTGATGAACCAGGAGAAATTCTCGATGATCTAGCTGGTTCTGCATCTATTGACCATCCTGATGAAGCATTTCAATATTTTACTGCTGAAAAATCAAAAGCTATTGTACAAGAACAAGTGAGAAGACATCAAATCGGTATAATGTCTGCAATAAAACGTTATGAATACGATTTCGTTGAATATAAATTAGATCAATTAAATGCTTTATATAAATTACTTGAGCAAGATGATATAAAACAAGTTTATGATAATTGTCTTCAATATATCAGTAAACTTCTTAATGAAGCATATCAGGACAGTATTTCAACGTTTAATCGTTGTTTAACTAATCAGACAGTTTTAAATACTGAAGATATCGAACGATATCAAATATCTATCAATCATGCTAAACTTGCTGATAGATTGAAAGAGAGATATTTAGTAGCGCAAAATGTTTTTCATAGTAAGGCATTTATTGACAATCTCATTGAACAAGTTGATATAATTATGAAAGATCTAAAACCAGAAGATCTTGATAAATTATCAACTAAGATTACTTTAAATAAGATAAAACTTCTTGCTAAATATTTTCAAGAGATCAACAATAAATATAAAGATATTTGTAAAATATTTGCTGACGAATATGATCGAATAGTTCAATCGCTTAAGAGTACACTCCATGAAAAGAATATGATCATAATAGAAAATTGCTTAAAAATACTTTCTGATGCATGTACTATTTTAGAAGATCATCTAGATAAAGAATTTCTTAAAAGAAAATATAACGAATCAAAATCGGCTTTTCTTCAAGATTTTCGTAATTCCGTCAGAGAATTCAGTAAAGATATTTCAAAAGAAATATATAATGATGCGATTATTAACAATTTAATGCAATGTTTAAATTTATTTGAAACAGTAAGAAAAGCAACCGATTTACAAAGACATATCGATCAAAAGGATATTAGTAGTTCATACGAATGTTTCATAAAGGAAATTTTAGGACATTATAATCAAATAAACGAGAGAATAATAACTGAACTAAGAAGTGAACGCTCATATAGTAAAATAAAAGTATTATTCGAAGAGATTACGTTAATTCGAAAAATCCCTCCTATTGAAACAGAAACAAATAGCGATTATTATAGAACACTCGAACACATTTGTGGGTACATAAGAGAATTGAGAAGAGATATTGAATCAGTCTTAAATGGATTCGATTCAAATCGACAGAACAATTATAATGCTCTTATGAAATGCATTTCGAATTTAAAAAGTGCTCAATGGATTGAAAATCATCGAAAAGACGTTTACTCAGATGTCCTTGATAATACTAAACAACAAATCGTTCAGTATGTTAAACATTTACAAAGAACAATAGCACAAAAAGATATAGATCTTGATAATCCCAGTAATATTGCATTTGTAAGTTGTAAAGTATTGGAAATTAATGAAATGAAAGCTATTGAAGAGATTGTACCAGATATAGTTCAGATTATAGGAACAGTGAATGAATATTTCAAAAATCAAATAGGCAATGTACTTAATAGCATTAGAACAACATTCAATATTGATTCTTGGAAACAAAGAACATCTCAATTGGTTGATTTTAATGTAGCTGAGAAAGGATTTAAGTTTTTAGATGAATGCAGATCAATAGATATTTCATTTGGAATCGATTCAGCATCTGTTCTTGCAACATTAAGAATTTTTATAAGAGAGTATAGCATTATCATTCAAAAGGAAATAAAAGATTGTTTTAACTTTATAAAAGAATTTCAAAATGGTGATAAAAAAGACATATTTGCCAAAGTTACATTATTATTTGAGCGTTTAGAAGAAATATCTGACATAACAGATAAGCATCCAATTGTTCTTGAACAACTTCATAATAGAAAAATTAGAGATGAGTGCAAACGTGATTTAGAAATATATGTAGAAGATTTATCAGGCGAATTAAATTTTCTAAATTCTGAAGAAAATACTGAAGCCTTTCACAATAAACTATTAGTAGCCAAAGCTCTGAGTACAGTTGATCCATTTATACGGGGCAAAAAGTACAATGAAATTTACTCTACATATCAAAGAGTATTCATTGATGCAGCTGGTGAACGCGGTAAAAGAGTAATAGACAATATTAACAATTTTAAATATGAAGAAATTCAAATTGATTTGGAAACATTAAGAACATCGCAAGAAGCTGGGCAAGGGCAACGTTATTTTGTACAAGCTAAACGGGTATTTAATATTAGTTTATATACTTTATTGGAAGCAACAAAAACTCAAGCTATTATGCTTGGATCGAAATTAGAATTCGATGCAATTAAAGCAATAGTAGATAATTTAAAACGAATGGAAAACGCAAAAAGATACATGTCAGAATATACGGATAAATTAGATCTAATAGATAGCTGTGCAAGTGAAGTTAAAGGATTAATTGAAGGACGAATGAGAAATTTTTTAACTAGTGTTAGAGCTGTCAATAATATGGGTAACTTTTATGAAGCCGGTGAACGATTAAAACATATACAAACAGTCAAAGACTTGCTAGGCATATATTGTACAGAATCTATTTCTCAAGAAATAGAAACATTGAACCAAAATCAAGATGAAATTTTAGGGAATGTTGTAGTGAGAAAATACATAGACACAGATATTAGTGAATATACATTGAATCCACCAAAAGATATATTTGATAGATTAGAAAAGGTAAAAGAAACAGACGAAAGATATGTTAAAGCATTAGATGAATTACGTAAAGGTATCAGAAGTAAATTTCGAAAAGAATTAGATGATGCTCTTAAAAGGAAACCACCCGATCATGATAACATTCATATAAGAAGATTTGAAGCAGCAATAAAATATTTGCCAAATGATTTGCAAACAGGTCTTGAAATAGAATTTAAACATTGTAAAGAACAAATAACTAAAGATATTCAGCAAAATGATAAAGAATTGGATAGTGCATGTAATAGCAACGACATTAGACGTATAAAAGAATTGATTGAAAGATATCGACAAACAGATGGTATGCAACATTATATCGATAAAGGTCAGGAACAGGTTCGTCAGCAGACACAAGAAATTATATCGATAATGAAAAAAAATTTGAAAGAATACAAAATAAAAGAAGCATTGTCCCATGTTGAAAAACTTGATTCTTATAGAATTGACCTAGGGCAGGTTCTTGATATGGAACATTTGTGTACGAAAACTCGATTAGAAATAACAAACACATTTCAAGAAGTATATGTTAATTGCATGAAATATTTTTCGAAAGAAGAAAAACAATCATTTAACGATGAAAAAATCGAAATACCAACAAATGACATTTTTTGCATGATAGACTTTACCAAATTTCGAGACAGACATAATAAAGATAGTATTTTAGAACACATGTTTCCAAACGATTTCGATAAAAGCCTTAAGAATTTTAGTGTAACTTTTGTAAATTTTTTTAATGAATGTGAAAAAAACTACAAAAAAGCTACAGAGAATAATGATTTTACATTATATGAAAATGTTTTATCTATTATGACTAAGTGGAATAATTTATTAATAGAAATAAAAAATGAGCGTTATGACTTAGATAAGGAAGATAATTTAATGATAAATATAGTTACATGTGTAAAAAAGCTAACACCTAGTTCATTTATGTTAGATACAATATCAAAATTTATTAAAAAACTAACATGTGAAATAATACAAACTAGAATAATCAATGATGATATTAATGAAATAGAAAAAGATCGAGAACAGCGCTTTAAAAGCTTGAATAAGAAATTTTCAATTTTAATCGATGCTAAAAAAGTTGGTTCTTTTCTTTCCGATATTGATATAAATAGATTTGAAAGCGAATGTCTGACAGGATTTGAAAAAAGCATTACCGAGACATTTTCACTGATTGAAGTTATTTTGAAACGTGTTTTTGGAGAAAATCGTTTTTCAAATGCAGACAGTATTGATTTTAATAAGTATTATTATAATTTAGTATCATATAAACAGGAAATGACATTAGCTCCATGTGGAGTGGAAGCAAAGCTTGATAAAATTCGACGAACTGTCAATGAAAATATTGAAAATTGGGCAGATTCTATTGAAACTGATAGAACAACTCAAAATGTCTCCTTAATGTTAATAAATATGAAACGTGTTGCGAGGAATATGTCTGCATTCAAAGCAACGATTGATGCTCGCATAGATGAGTCATTAAATAATTATAAAAGATTTAGTAATGATAATTTAGCTATTTCAAAATTAGGCACAATTTTAAATCAGGATACAATGGGTATCGGTCAATATATAATAGGAGAACACAAAATATTTGAAGGATATTCAACGTCTATATTTAATGAAAAAACACAAAAACATGATATAAATTATGTTTTAGATAACTTAGATGGTGATTTGATTGATTCAAAGTTGTTAAGAAAACGATTCGATGAATTTGATAAAATGTATAAAGAGTTAATTAAAAAATATCTAAAACCTGATATGAAATTAGAACCATTAGTGTCAGATATTAAACTCATTGCAGGAATTAACAAACAAAAGCCAGATGATATTGAATGGGACATACTTAAGGGTAAGATTCCACGATTAGCAGCGCATATTTTTGCACTATGGACACTTAGGTCTGCAGAACATTATTTTGAAGCTAAGGGCTCAAACAATCAGGATAGTTATTTACTTCAACCTCATGCAGCTCAAATTGTCAGTATATTTCGTATGCTTGGTATAGGTGATAAGAAAGAGGAGTTAAGCAACAATTTAGTCCAAATAGGTACAGGTGAAGGAAAATCTATAACATTAGGAGCTACAGCTTGCATACTTGCATTACTCGGTTTTGATATTTATTGTGCATGCTATAGTCAATATTTAAGTCAGAGAGATTATAAAGCATTTCTACCGCTATTTGATTCGTTAGGTGTAGTAAATTACATACATTATGGTACATTTAATGAACTATGTGAAGAAATAATTAATGAAGATGGCGAAATTCGTCAAACAGTTGAACAGATTATTTCTCAAAATTTGGGTAATATAGCGATAAGATCTAAAGCAAATAAACGTGCTAAAATATTATTAATAGATGAAGTTGATATCTTTTTTAGTCAAGAATTTTATGGTAATCTTTATACACCTGTAGCAAGTTTACGAGATCCCACTATAACAGCATTAGTTTATCTCATATGGAATAACAGAAATTCAAAAATGAATATTAATCAAGTGAAAGATAAACCTGAGTACCAGGCATGCATTAATAAATATCCAAATTGGATGAATTTAGTTGATGAAGCTGTTAAAGATATGCTTTTTGATGTACATAATTTTGCATCACATGGTTATACTGTTAAGGACGGTCAAATCGCATATATTGAACAAGATAATGTTGTTTATAATGTTTCTTATGGTTATAAAACTTTATTTGCCTATCTTCATGAACATGAAAATAGTAACGAAATAAGTAAAGCAACTGTAGAAAAAAATATTTCGATTGAAATCAAATGTGGTAGTTTTTCTTATGCTGAAATTCCGCTTGAATTTAACCATATGATGGGTGTAACAGGTACATTAAGAACTTTAAGTGAACCTGAGAGAAAAGTAATACAGGACGTATATAAAATTAAAAGAAATACATATATGCCATCAGTATTCGGTGCACATGATTTGAAATTCAGAGAAAGAGATGACATTAAAATTGAAAATGAGTACGACTATTTTAACGTAATAAAACAAGAAATAGAGGATAGATTACGCGGAATATCATCGGGCGAACGTGCTGTATTGGTATTTTTTGAGTCAGAAAAAAAATTAAATGAATTTCGTGATTCAAAAGCGTTAGCTTTACTAAAGGATTATGTCTTCTGTTTAACAGAACAAACGTCATTAGAAGAAAAAGAATCAAGAATAAAATCTGCAACTGTATCTGGAAGAGTAACGTTATTTACCAGAACATTCGGTAGAGGAACTGATTTTATATGTTATGATCAAACCGTTCTTTCAAATGGAGGTACTCATGTTATTCAAACATTTCTTTCTGAAGAAATATCAGAAGAAGTACAAATAAAGGGAAGAACAGCAAGACAAGGTAATAGAGGATCGTACAGTATGGTTTTATTTGATCGTGATCTTGAGAAATTCCAAATAGAAAAGACTGATATTGAAGATATTAGAGCAGGCAAAGGATTTCTTAGCCGTTTAGCTGGCATTGTTGGGATAACGAAGAGTTATAGGACTATGTATGAACTTCTAAATGAAAAACGCACTGACACATTTAAAGCACGATACGATAATAATAGGAAATTTGTCGAACATGCTCGAATTAAACATAAAGAAGCTAAAAAATTTTTATGGAATCTTACTAATGGTAAAATTGATGACATTAAAATGTTTCTAGTTGAAGAAAATAAGGGAGCAGTAGGCTCACCAACCTCAAGAACCGTTTGTCTAATGGATGCAACAGGCTCTATGTACGCGTTGTTACATAAAAGTAAAAATGCAGTAGATATTATGTTTGAGAGAGCTTCAGCAATTCTAAAAGAAAAGGGTTTCGCATCGAATTCGTTTGAAATTCAGTTTGCTGTATACAGAAATTATAACAGTAAAGAAGAAAAAATTCTACAATATTCACCTTGGGAAACAAAACCAGATAATTTACGTGCTTTTATGAATACGATTGAAGTCGAAGGAGGTTGGGGAAATGAAGCTATTGAAATTGGATTGTGGCATGCGAACCAGGAAAATAGCAGAGAACCTATTACACAGGTTATTTTGATAGGCGATGCCCCTCCAAATACACAGGTCGAGGTAAAAGATAGAAGAAAACAGTACGGCGAACGGTATTGGTTAGGGACTAAATTTGGAAAACAGACATATTATGAAAATGAGCTGGAAAATTTAAAAACGTGTAAAATTCCCATACATGCGTTTTACGTTGTAGAACCAGCGAAAGATATTTTTCAAAAGATTGCTCAGAATACGGGAGGACGTTGTGAAATGCTAGATATAAATTCTAAAGCAGGCGCGAAAATGTTGACAGATTTGGTAACCGAGGAGATTCTTAACAATATCGGAGGATCTGTAAAAGGTGACGTTCTTGTTAAAGCATATAGAGAAAAATATTCCAAAAAAGAATAAGAATAAACTAAAAATTCTAAGAAATATTTTATCATTCGGTATTTTCATTGAGTTTTCCTATGAATTTTTGACTCTGTTTTTACTACACCAATCCCATTTGCTTTTTTCTATACTTATCCATATTTTTTTATTTCACTGTAATATCGAACTTGAATTTGTTCTTTTTATGAGTGTTATCATATTTATCCTCTTCCCATTTGCTTGTGTTTCATGCATACACTTATATTTATTTTTATTTAACCATTTATGTCTTCATTTTCATGCGCAATTTTCTTTTGCTTTGTCCATTTTGATTTTTGTTGCACACAAATTTTTATGCCCAAAAAAGATCATTGTCAAGAGTCGAAATAAATCTTGAACCAATATGTATATTGCTTTTACTCGATTTTGAAAGTGTAATAAACATGGAAACGAAGGGGTGAGTGTGTGGATATTTCTATCGTTCAGAGATGGGATCGGTTCGGTTCGGTTTAAAAAATTTCGATTTCGGTTCAGTTCAAATTCTGAAAAACTTGAACCGATTCCAACTCGAAAATGAATTTATAATTAGAAAAAATATGAACATGCATATTTCTAAACACACTCATGCATAATAGATTGCAATAGTCTGAAATAAGATGGTCAGGAAAGAACCATCCGTCAGGATCCGATAGAAATGTGTCGCAAATTGTCGGAATCGATGGTACTGGATGCTGACTGCAAGTTGTAGGATATTGGAAAGTGTCGGACTGATCGTGGTTCTCGTAGGAACACTGATATTCCAACATCCTAAAACTTCCTCTCGGAATACAGTATCAAGGATTTCGATGATTTTCGACATATTCCTCTCGAATTCGATAAAATCCTAGAGTTTTCCAATAGTGTCCGACATTCGGAGCAGTTGTCCTAGGTAGACTCGTTGATCTTAGGAGAATATGATGTTCGTTATCTTTCATGCAATTTTGAAACATTGTTTCGATTCAGTTCGATTCGGTTCAAATTTTGAAAAACCTGAACCTACCCCATCTCTGCTTATCGTTTTATACAAGTATTTTTACTCATTAGTATGATGCCATTGTTTTATTTATCATGTAGGCTTATATTCAACTGTGGGATAATTAAATCTATAATTATGATAGAAAACATGCTGACTTTCAGCAAACATATAGCTTTGTTTCTCATATTCCTTAAAATTCTTTTGCTGAAGCACAAATAGTTTGTTGAGCAAGGAAAGATCTACGTAGACACGCAGTAAGCGTCGCAAGTTCCGCTACCAGATGGGAATCACCTAAACATCAACTGTTTGGGCTCATATTTTTGCAAGGGATAGAACTCAATTAACCTTGATCATAGGAAGCAACAAAAGTCAGTTTGTCCTTAATGATAGAGACTTACAAGGCGAACATATGACTTTCCTTGCAAGACGGCTATCATAGCGCAGAAAGAAAATCGTTTAGCTTGCGACCACTTATTGGAGAAAGCAATGCTCTCTCTCTCTGTCCCATAAAAAGGGCCCTGCACGACAAGATTGGAAATCTACCACCCCCGCCCCCAATATCGAACTTTCATATCATCGTTTCGTACCTTGGACTCTACCCCACATTTATTCATTTTGACTCTTGAAGCGCGCTTTTCTCTGCTATAAAAAAAGACATTTTTAAAATTCTAATTACATATTTACAATCAGCATTAAGCATCCTATCATTATACATAACGTTTAATTTTTCAAAGTTTATAATAGTCAAAAAGCCAACTACAAACGAAGGCATGCATTTATGCATACATTGATCATTTACAAAATATTGCCATGACATTATCTGAAAAACAAAAAAAAATAACCCGGCGCTAAAATTTTTTTAAAAACTTGCTTATATATTCAGCTTCCTTTTGATATTATCACAATTTTAAAACTTTTTGTCCGAAGTCTCACTTTATACTTAAAAAGTATTAAAATATCCCCTTATTGTGTATAAACTGAATTAGTATTTGGCAATTTTGATCCTCAGAACTTCATTTTGAAACAAAATTCATGGGATATTTGGGATCAGCATCAACAGCTGGATAGAATGATATATATTTTATTAAATGTTTTTTTCTGTCGAAATTATACCGTTACTCCCTTTCAGCAGGTTTTGTTCGAGAAATCCGCTGACGGACTCCGGGGTTTCATTTCGGGAGAAAAAAAATTAATAAAACATATGTCATTCTACCCAGCTGTTGATGCTGATCCCGAATATCACATGGATTTTGTTTGAAAATGAAGTGCTCGGGATAAAAAACGCTAAATACTAATTCAGTTTATACACAATAAAGGGATATTTAAGAATGTTTAATTATAACGTGGGATTTCGGTCAAAAAGTTTTAAAATTGTGATAATATCAAAAGGAAGCTGAATATATAAGCAAGTTATTAAGAAAGTTTTGGCGATGGGTTATTCTTTTGTTTTTCAGATAATATCATGTCAGTATTTCGTATATGATCAATGTATATATGCATGACTTTGTTTGTCTTGTTTGACCATTATAAACTTTGACAAAATAAAAGTTATGTAGAATGACAGGATACTTAATGCTGATTGTAAATATGTAGTTAGAATTTTAAAAATGTCTTTTTTTTATAGCAGAGATAAGCGCGCTTCGAAGGTCAAAATTTCAATCTGGATAGGATCCGATGAAATAGCGCATGCAGCACGCCTTGTTCTGGAGACTATCATCTACTCAGGAAAAAACAACAAATGTTTGAACGATCCTTACCAGATCTGGAAAGGATCCGTTATGGAAATGTCAAAGATTTTTACTATGGAATGTTTCAATGACTATTTGTTGCCTCGATTAGTTCATATAATTGCGTTAATTCTGCAATTGGCTGTTGTAGATACAGAATCTCACATTCTATCGATTGATGTAACTTGTAATAGGTTTTCTCTGCCACAAATTTTGACTGGTATTCTATAGTTTTAGAACGATGCACACATCATCCATATATTTGCCACTCTTCATTATATTAGCACTTACTTTCACAATCGCGCTAAGGCACTTATCCACGAGCAAATTCTTCGCCAATAATCCCTCACGAAAACCACACTAATCGATAGAGCGTAAAATTCTGTATCTAACACACCCAGTTTGAGCATTGGCACAGCTCTGTAGGTGAATATGAACAAGAAGATCACGAAATCGGTGCTAACTTTTATTACGCCTATTTTAGACATATATCAAACAGTTTCATTCCAATATATCTATTTTCTGTTTAATAAATAATAAAAATTATATTTGTTCATCATAATAAATATAATCTACAATCAATGGAAGCTATAAAACGACTTGTTTTTGCAACAATGCCAAAACTTTACGTTCATAAAATGTTATCAATAGCACTAAAGACATCAAGTGAACGCAATCCTGACCGTTTTCGAATACAAGTTCATGTTCTAGCTGATGTTTATGCTGATATAAGCAATCAATTGGAGGAACGATTACACGAGGCCAAGGAAAACTATACAGGTGAATGCATTCTTATCATTCCTTATGATTCGGGCAACTTCCATTGGATTGGCTTATTAATACAATTTAAACATGATAAACAGATTCAACATGCTGAATATATTGATCCCGTGAGCAAATCAAATTATTCTCCCGCAAAGTTACAAGAACAGTTTAATAAAGTTTTCCCCAACTTTATTTTGCAGTCAAGAACCGCTTTGTACAAAGGTAATCAAACTAATAGTGCTTCGTTAATCGTTAAAAACTTATTAGAAGTAATTGCTGAATTTAAATGCAAAGAAGTTGAACATTCAAATACAAGTAAATTATCTGATCAAATCAATGATACAGAGATGTTTTCAAGTAAAACATTTGAACCTTTTCGTTTAAAAAGCATGTCTATAAATGACAGAGAAAATGCTTGTGATGAATCCGCATCGATTTTCCCAGTGAAAGTATCACAAATTGATGAATCAAGAGAGTCAAAAAGCACTGAAGAAAATTCAGATGAATCAGTCAAAGAAAATGAAATTTCAAAGTGTGAGACAAAACCATGTAGTATACTAAGTCTTGATATTGCAAAATCTTATTCTAAAGATGATTTTCAACTCACAAATGAAAGTCTAAAAGATACTTATAAAGATTTTGATTTAATGCCATTATGTACAGAAAGATTTCTACTTAGTTTATGGTATATTATTTCTGGCAAATTAATAGGTAAGGATGCCATTGTAGACCAAAGTATTATGTCATCTGATTATAGGAAGTTAGAAATTGATGAAGAACTTCAATGTTTAAAAGAACGCTTGAAATTAGAAGAAATATCATCAACGAAAATTCAACATGCAGTTGAAACACTTTCAATATATATTAAAAATGAAAATTGGAAAGCTTCTTTAATTACATTAAAAGAAATACTTCATGAGATAATGCCGTTGAATATTTATGAGCTATTTCGATTAGTAAAAAACGTTGATGATGCAGCGAATTTAATAAAAGACAAGAAGATAATCTTTTTTCTTGGTAATACCGGATCAGGAAAATCCACAACTATACACTTTCTTGCCGGTTCTAAAATGATTAAGACAGAAATCAATGGATTGAATCATATAGAACCTACTGAAATAAAAAATGTAGATTTAAAACGTATTGTAACAGCACCATTTGCTAAATCTATAACTCGGTGTATCACACCGGTTACTGTTTACTTTAAAGACATTGGTGCATACGGACAGGATAGTATCATTTTATGTGATAGTCCAGGTTTCGGGGACACTAACGGTCCTGAAGTAGATATTGCTAATGGAATAGCCATAGTTCGAGCTATACAAGTATGTAAAAGTGTGAAACCAGTTCTATTAATTAGTTACAAAAGTATTGGTGATAGATATGAAGGATTAAAGGATCTTACTCATACACTAGCTAGATTAATTCAAAATATGAAACATCAGATTAAAGCGTTTTCTTATATATTCACAAAATATCCTAAAAATGAAAAAGAAACAATCCATGCGTCATTAGAAAGTATTAACAATACACTTAGTGATCAAGAGAGATCTGACACTAATTTTATGGATATATTTAGAGATATGTTTGAAAAAACCAAAAAGAACGCATGTGTTCTAGACCCCATTAAGGATGATCCTAGTGAGATTCTTGATGAACTTGCAGATTCTATTGATATCAATCATCCAGAAGATGTTTTCCAAGTTTTCATTACTCAAAAGTCTAAAAGTATTCTAGATAAACAAGTGGCAAAATATGAGCTGAGTATTAAATTAGCAACTAAACGTTCAGAATATTCATTAGTAAAATACAAATTTGATCAATTAAAATCTTTAAATGAATTATTAAATCAAGAACCTATTGAAGAAATTTATCTAAATTGTACTCGATATGTAAGCAGACATTTTTTTGAAGAATATCAAAAGGCGATATTAATATTGAATCGTAGTTTACTAGATGAAACAATTTTAATTGATGAAGAAATAAAACAATATCGAACCTATTTTGATCATGCTAATCTGGCAGAAGATTTAAGAAGAACACATTTAGGAAATGAAGCGATTCATAGCTGTGCTTATATTGAATATTTAAACGAAAAAGTTAATAATTTAGTAAAAAATCTACAAGAAAAAGATATTAATGAATTATCAATAAAACTCAGTATGGAGAAAATAAAAATTCTTTCGGAATATTTTGATGATGTGAATGCTAAATATAAATTTATTTGCCAATTCTTTTTAGAAAAAATAGAACAATTAGTCAATTCTTTTGAAAAATCCGTATTGTCAAATGAATTTCATAATAGTATTTCTATGATGACAAAAATCTATGATGCAAATACTATTTTAAGTAATTATTTAGAGAATTCAAGTATTGAAAAAAAATATTCTAAAATGAAAGAATTCTTTCTAAATTATTTAAATGATTACGTGAAAAAATTCGATGAGATTTTTTTGAAAGAAAAACTTGAACCAAATGATTTAGAAAACCTAAATAATTGCATATATACACTTGAACAAGTAATGAATATATTTAATCTTGATTTGCATATCTCTAAAGTAGATATTAATAAACTTTATGAAGAATTTTCATATAGACTTCTCAATCACTTCGAACAAATTATAGAAAATATAAATAGCGAACTTAAAAATAAACATACATTTTATAGATTAGAACAGTTTTTTAAAGATTTGGATTCTTTACGAACTATTCCAAGTATTGCGCGCAAAACCAATCGAATATATTATATTACTGTGGGAAAATTAGTAGATTATATAAATGAAACACGAATATATATTGAAGAACTTTTACGTAGTTTATTTCGAGGAGAAGACAAATCTATTTATGGTAAAATTACAAAATGTTTATTAAATCTTAAAAATTCACAGTGGATAGAAAATTACAGAGCACGAGCTTATTCGGATATAATAAAAGATATTGAGCAACAATTAATTCAACATATAAAAGAATTAGAAAAATCTGTAATGAAATCGAATTTAGATCTTGATAATTTTACTAAAATTTCCGATGTTTCTAAAATACTAATTGAAATAGATGAAATGTGGTGTTTTGAAATTTTTATTCCGATTCTAAAACAATATATAGATGAATTTAACTCAAAATTTGAAGGAATAATAAATAATGTATTTATCATTATCAAAGATACATTCAATTTGGATAAATCAAACGAACCAATTTCCAAAACACTTGATTGCTATACAGCTGAAAAGGCTCTTCTTTACTTGGATGCTTGTAAAACATCCTTTATTTTGAAAAATGATTCTATATTAATACTGACAGGTTTAGAAAATTACATAAGAAATTATATTAATTTTATTAAAGATGAAATAAAAGGTTATTTTGACATCATTAAGCAAAGTAAAACTGGAAATGAAAATGATATGTTAAAGAAAATTGAAATAATATCAAATCGTTTACAAGAAATAGTAGAAATAAAAACAACATGTAACCGTATTTTTTCTTGTTTTCGTAGACCTATTGAGACGATCATTAAGGATTGGAACAAATTATTATCAGATCATTTAAATGACTTATCTGAGGAAATGCTTAATTTATATTTAACACAAAGTATTGAATCTTTAAATAAAAAATTATCAATTATAAAAATGTTAAGTAACTTAGATTGGTTCTTAAAAGATAAGAAATATATTGATGTTTATCATAAATATCAAGAAAAACTTCTGTTACAAGTCCATGATATTGATAAGGAAATAATAGATGCTATTAAAAAATTTGATTGTGAGGTACTCGATGATAAAATGACGGCATTACGACCATCAAACAAAATTGAAAAACATTTTTATGAAAAAGCAAAGCGATCTCTTAGTATAGGGTTAAATCAATTAAAAGAAGATACAAGAGGATTAACACTTGTACTTACTCATCATTTAGAAAAAGAACAAATTAAATTGATAGTTGAAAATTTAAAACGACTAGAAAAATCTAAATTCGTCATCGAAAAACATTTAAATAATTCACATGCTACAGACGAGTTTATTGAAGAAATGAAGAAATCGATTGAAACAAAAATAAAATACTTTTTAAATCGTATAAGAGCTCTTATTATAAATTACAATTTTTCTGAAGCTGATGAAAAGATTGATTCAGTTATTGTAGTACGCAATTTATTAGGAAAATATTGCATAAAAGATATTTCAGATCAAATAGAAACTTTACAAAACTATGGAAAAACAGTTGTACTACCCGATATGATAAATAGATATTCACAGATGGATATTAGCGAATATATGTTGAATCCACCAAAGAATATTTTTGAAAAACTTGCAAATGTTAATAGTACAAATCAAATTTATAGTGAAGTTTTAGATAAATTGAGAAAACTAATTTTGGAAAAATTTCGAAACGAATTAGAACGAGCTAAAACAAAACAAACAATAGATATTACAAATGAACATATAAGAAGATTTGAATCTGCTGTTAAATATTTACCTGAGCCAATGAAAAATGCTCTTGAAATTGAATTACAGCATTGTAAAGATGATATAAAACGTCTTATACAATATAGTGAACTGAAATTACAAGATTCGTCTATTACTGAAGAAATAGATAAAATCAACAATTGTTCATTTGAATATCAAAATTTACAAGTTATTAAATCATATTTTAATAACGGTAAAGAATTAGCCTCAAAACGAATAGACAATATTGTTGTTAAAATCCATCACAACTTAGGAAAACAAAATATTATAGAAGCATTAAATAATATGAAAATATTATATAAATATAAAACAGAATTAAATATGTATATTAATGATATTGAAACAATATACGTAGAAGTACATGTCGACATAATATGTACATTTGAAGATGCTTACCAGCATTTTTTAAATCAGATTTTAACTGTCCATCAAATAAAGCATGTAAAAACTAAAACTGAAGTATTAAAGAAAGATGTTACATGTTTATTTGAGTTTATGAAATTTAGAGATGATGTTCAAAATGAACAAATTTCGAATTTTGTACTTCCAGAGGATTTTGATGAAAAAATGACGAGATTATCCGAAAAAATAGATACATATTCAACTGAACACGCGAAAAATTATAAAGTTGCTTTTGAAAATTTCGACATTTCAAGTCTAGTAGATATTCTTAAAACTATGTACATATGTAATTCTTTATTAACACAAATAAAAGTTTATCATGATCAACACATCAACAAAAATTCAATCATTAATACTATAAAAGAAAATTTAGAAAAACTCACACCATATACAGATATGTTAGAATCTATATGTCAAAAAATTGAAAATTTAGGAAAAGAATTAATTAATACTAAACTATTCGAAAGTAGTAGAAAGTATCATGTCAAAGATCGGGATGCGTTCTATCGAGATGTAAATGAGAAATTTTTTATTCTAAGTCAAACTAAACGTTTTCATCCATTTCATCATCTAAGAATTGATGCAAATAAGCTTGAAGAAGAATGTTTAGAGTCAATAGAAAAAGAAATTTCGATTATTTATTCGAATGTTAAAAACTTTTTAGATAAATTTTCACAAGAAAAACCGTTAGGAAGGCCAAACTATGAGAATTTCAATAGAAACTATTGTAATTTGATATCAATCGAACGAACAATGAAAAAAATTCCGTTTCAGAGAAAATTTACAACTGACGACATTGAAAAAATAATTCAGGATAAAATTAAAATGTGGGAACGTTCTATTGAAGAAGAGCCAACACTAGAAAATGTTGCTAATAATTTAATAAAAATGAAGATAGTTTCAATGGATATTTCTTGTCTTGAAATTGGTATTACAAAACGAATCGAGGAAATTCTGTCTAATTTTAAAAAAGTACTTAACGAAGTTGACTTTGCTACGTTAAATGTAATTGTAAATGAAACGGGGTTCGAATCAGTCGAACGTGAGAGTGAGGATGATTTAGTTTAATGCAAGAAAAGCACTGAACAAGACATAGATTCAATCTAAAAGAGAAAAAGCCTCATAGATGTAAGATATTGCAGAAGATTTTTCAGGATTAACTATACTTTTTTGAGAAGCCCACTCAAGTAGTTCTAGTCTTATTCAGCCACTAGACCAATTAATATGATTGAAGATGAGACGGTATATGCGCACGACATTTCTGAAATCTCTTGGGATTCATTGTGTGAAAACGAATACAGATTCTTCATCAATTTGTGCTTTCTTGTTTCACATTTTTCTTATAATAGATTATTTGTTTTTTATTCTTCTGACATGCTTTGAAATATTTTTATTGTTACCAGTCATAATTAATCTATATCTTGTTTTGTTTTTGTTGTAATCGTCAGCTCTCTTTTAATATGCAGTTATGTCCTTGTGTATTTATTTCTCTTACCTTTCCATATGATACTTCAATAATTAATTATTTCTGTGGGGTGATGGTGATGGTTTAGTGCTATTTTTGAATTTGTCTTCTATTTTGACGTCCTTTTCAATTAACATGAAAGCAATATAAATACAGTCTTGTATAATATTTATTTATCTTTATGAAAAAAGTCTGAATTAAAATTTTCAAGAGTAAAAGTATTTTTATTGATGCAATGTTCGTAAGAGAGATTTCACTTTAGTCAACAATAATAATACTATTGATAAACGATAAATAAGCCGAAAGTCTTGTATAAAAATCTAGAGTACCACAGGATGGGCGTGTGGGTGTGGGTGTGGGTGAAGAATAGACACCCACCCATCAGAAGTCTCTTTCGCCGAATCTGCTAGCCCTATCGATGACCTACAACAGATTAGGCGCAGCCTTCTACCAGCAAGCAAAATTTAAGGTATCACTAGAAGTGTTCGAGAAATGTCACGAAATTGAAGTGAAACTACATCCTCATTGTGATCTCGACACTGCTGAATCTCTGAACAACATTGTACAAGTTTGTCATGCACTCGGCGACTACAACAGAGCTATCGACTGTCTTAACAAGATTATGAATATGCAGCTTCACTTACTTCCCCCAAATCATCTGGATTTTACTACAACTTACTACAATCTTGCAGACGCATTCTTCGCACAGGACAAACTCAGAGAAGCACTTCACATTGTCAAACAGAAGTATAATGTCGATTCAAAGAATTTACCTCCCGATCACCCACGGGTAAAAGACGACATCGGTACAATTTCCATACTCAAGATTCTACTGTGGTATCACTTTCCAAAGAAATAATTCAGAATCATAATCTGTGCAAACGATGGTCCAGGAAATTGAGCTCGAAAGAGCGTAAAATAGGCACTGGCCTAATTTCAATTTCAACGAACACATAGTCCATGTTTTCTCTACATTATCTTACCTCATAGTGATACGTTAGCGTTAATGATATGTTCAGCATCAAAAATCTTCAGGCCAATTTCGTTATATTTTTTAAATTTTCTCATAAAACTTCAATGTATTTCGAAGTCCATTTTCGGTTTGATGAACATGGCTGGTTTTATCGACATGATTGGAACCCAATGGAGGGAAGAGTTTCTCTCTAAACTTTTCAAGGATTCTACATGTGTTTTTTCATTAGAAACCACTTTTAATGAAAAATGCACGATCCGGCGTAGTTTTTAATGTTGATTTTGAATACGATGTTTGTTTACCTTCACAATTGAATTATGTCAATAAAAAGAGCTATATACGAACACCCTTTTCACTGTTGTATCTGATTTTGCCACCGCAGAAGAAAAGACTTCAATTTTCTCAATAGAACAAAACTTAAAACTAAATAATAACTTTTCTAGTTCATGATCTGAGGAGTCTGACAAGATAGTAAAGTTTGATCTATCTCTCGTTACAAAAAATTAGATAGATTTACAAGAATGCACATTGATACATACTTTTAGCCTGATGAACCTATTTATATTGGGTAGAATTTTCTTAGCTTTATTAGCTCTGCATCTAAAAAAATAGCAATTTTCTATTCAGTTTTATGCTGATTCAGAACAGTATTTTTTTTAAAGTTCACAAAATAAC